TATATTTTTTTATTTCTTTTATTTTTATTTAATTTATTATATTATTTTAAACAAATGTAAAATCTAATAATTTCTGTAATATATCATTATATCCTTTCAAACATCTTACACTCGAATAATAGTTTAAAAATGAAATTATATTTTAAATCAAAATTAGATCTATAGCAAAAACTTATAAGTAGCAAATAGTCCATTTATAATCTTCTTCATCATTATTAATATTACATTTTTTCAAAATAAATAAAATAAAGAATATCATAAAAATAGTTAAAAAAATTAACTTTGAAACTATAAATCTATGACACTTTAAAAAATTAATATTTTCAATTAATTTTTTTAAACATTATTTTACTAAAATACACATTAATATTAAAATTGCTATTTAAAAATATCCTTTCATATTATAATAAAAGCAAACTAGCATAAATAAGCATTATTTAAAATACATTAATAAAGCCCTAATTAAAGAGTTTCGTGTATAGTCTTATAATAAATACATTTCCAAAAATTCATTCGCAATAAGTGTAAAATATAATTTCTAGTCATATTAATAATAATTATGATTTATATTTATTCTATTAACTTTGTTTATATTATTATTTTCATTTTTAATATCATTAAATAAAATAACATTTGTATTGTTTTTCTTATTAGTATTATTTTATATAATTTATTTATCGAGAAAATTTTTAAATTCAGACATATTTTAGGTATTTTAATCAGGGCAAGCTTAACTTTAACTTATATAATTACTTTATTTTCTTGGATTTCTATTAATTTTATTATTATTCTTTTGTGAGTTAGTTTCTATTTTTTCTATTTAATAATTTGCTTTTTGAATATCTGATTTAGACCTTAACCTTTACCTTTAATTTTAATTGTTTACATTTTCTGCTTCATTTTATGCTGTGATATGGTCTTTTACGGGCTCCATTTAAAATTTTGATGTTTTCGGTTTATATTCTTCTTCTTCGAAATTTTTCACTTTCCTATTTCTAAAATAGGATTTATAATCTAAAAAATAGCAAATTATACACGCAATAAATATATATACAGTAACAACAATATATACTTTAAACATCAACTTATTAGTAGCAGCATATGTTTTAATTACTTTATTCTCACATTTACCATCTTTATTCAAAACAAGTCCGTTTTCACACTCCAAGCATTTAATATTGCCTGTTTCCGTGCATCTTTTGCATGAGGAATGGCAATGATCGCATGTATTAGTCTCTAGATTTTTAAATTTATTTTAAGGACATTCAGTTTTGCACTCATTTTCGTCTAAGTAAGTATTCTATTAGCAATAAATTTCATTACTACAAAATCCATTAAATAAATAGAGTCCCTAAAAGCATTCTGTACATTAATTAAATTGTTTACAATTTAAACAATTAGAATCACATGGTTAACAATTTCCTTAAGAATCGGGAAAAAAAGATTAATCACATTCTAGTTTACATTATTAATTTTAAGTTAAAAAATAATTCTATTTACAAGATACACATTTGCCCTTTTCTATACATGCCTTACAATTTAAGTCACATAATTCGCATTTTTATGTACTTCTTTTCAAATATGATCCTTCTTCACAAGTATCACATGTATTAGAATTCAAGCAATTAAGACACATAAGATCACATTACTAACACTTTTTATTTTAATCCTCAAATTATTTATTGTCGCAATTATCGGCACATTTTTTAGTTTATAAAAGAACTTAATTATTATTACAGGTAATACATTAATTATTTACTATTCCATTTTCACATGTTTGACAATTATCATCACATTTTTCACATAAATTACTCCTTGTGTTTATATAATACCCCGCATTACATGTATTACACGAAATAGCATTTTAACATGTAAGACAAGATGCATTACATTATTAGCATTTTCTTAGTGCATCTGCATATTAATTTTATTAACAAGAAATAACGCATTTTTTGTCTTAAGTGAGAAAATTATTAAGTTAACATTCCGTACATTAATCATTAGTGGGTCCATTTTCGCACGCTACACAGTTCGCGTTACATTGTTCACATCTATTAGTATTAGTATTAGTATTTAAATATTAGCCCTTATTACAGGATGTACAAGTATCAGCATTATTATCGCAAGTTCTACAGTTAGCGGAGCAATGCGAGCAAAATTAAGTTAAAGGATTTAAATAATTACCATCAGCACATGTAGAACATGAAGTATTATTAATACATGATAAGCATGATGCATTACACGGTTAGCATTTTCTCGTGTTATCCGGATATTAATTGGGTAAACAGGTGTCTTTGCAAGTTTAGTTAGTTTATAAATATTAATTATTATTACAAGTAAGACAAGAAGTCTTTGAATCTTTGCAAGTTTAACAATTTGGATCACATTATTCACATAAACCACTTTAAAAGTTCGCATATTAGTCTTAATTGCAATTTTTAACACATTTTTTTTCAAGTTATTGGTAATATAAAGGAGGTGAGCAGGACAGGCATTTAGTTTTATCAGTACCGTTTTCACATGTAGTACATTGAGCATCACATGGTTCACATTTCGAAGTATTTGTATTTAAAAAGTTGCCATTTACACAAAGTTAACAAGAATTTGCGTTTACACATTTAAGACATAAATTAATGCAATCCCTACATTAAGGTATATCAACTTGAGTATTATCTAAATATTAATTGCTATCACAAGCATCTACACATTTTTAATTTTTTGTTTGTAAAACTTTAGATGAATTGCAAGAAGTACATATATCTGGAGTATCAATTTGACAAGTTTTACACTTAATATTAATACAAGTTTAACATTCCTTCAAATCATTTATATAATAACCTTAATCACATATAATACAAGTATATTTATTATTACATAATATACATCCTTGCATACATGCAGTACATATATTATTTTCAACAAAAGTTCCTTATGGGCACCCTACACATATATCGTCTTTAAAATACTCATTGCTTTTGCATTAAACGCATTATAGATTATTAGTTATATGCTCATTATCTCTACAAAGTATATTTTCAATTGAATATAAGTAGACATATTTATCACTATTGCTACTATCGCCTGCAATTAAAGCTTTTCCTTTTTAAAATGACTATCTAAACCTTTAGTCTATTATAGGAAGTGTATAATATTTATATTTTTGATTCTTTCTTTTGATTACAATAACTTAATCGAATTCTTGATCATAAGATATATCATATACAACATTTCCAAAAATAATTACTGATTTATAAGACAAAATATAATAATATTTTCCGAAGTTAATTGACGAACTATCTGGAGACATTTCTACTTCCTTAAAAGTAAGCAAATCGTAAAATTTCCATTTATTAGAAGTCCCTAAGCAAATTATTTTTTTCCCAATTCCAAAATCGAAAATATCAGACATATAAAATTTATCTTAATTCAGGTTTAGTTTCTTTTTAAAAGTAACAGTATCTTCAGAAAATATTAATTAAACAACAAATACTGTTTCAACTGAAGATTTAAAGCCTAAGTCTAAAATAAGGGCAATATCATTATCAATATCAATTACATGCAGGCACTTATAAGAAGGATATTGGGCCAATCTGTATTTTTTCCCTTTATAAATCATATGCGCGAGGAACTATTTATTATAATCGTCGAAAACAATAATATTTTTTGTATTACAATATTCTGATATTTCATAAACATCTTTTGATGGAATCATGATTTAGTTACAATCATCGTCGAAAAAAGGTGTTTTATAAAAGGCTAAATAATCACTATTAAACATAATTTTTTATTCTTTTTAAATAACAATTTATTTATTCATTTCATAACTATAAATTGAAAAAGATAAAGTTTTTGAAGGGGGAATTGTGTATATATCATTGTTTTCCAAATTATAAAGATCTATTAAGTCTATTATTTAGTATTCACGTCTTAAACGGTTTAATATAAATAATTTTTTCCGGCCTTTTTTTGTCTCAATAAAATAGACATTGTTTTTGACTGCTTCAATCAATCGATCTAGAATTATTTACTTTGTTATAAAACCATCGTCATTTAATATGCAATAATAGTAATATTATCTTCGATTTAAATTTTCATCGATTGGTCTTATTATTATGGCTGATTCTTCAGAAATGTTGTACCAATATAAATATATTTATAATGGATATTATAATGTATTTATTTTATGGATTATAGAAACTAAATAAAATATTGATAAAATTAATTTTTTTCTAATCATTTTTTTTTTTGTATTTTGTATTTTATTTTTTATATATATTATTTATGTTTAAAATTTATTTATAATAATTTAATTGTAAAAAATATCAATTTATTATTATGATAAAAAAAAAATTATTTTATTATTATTGAATGCAATTATTTTCATATCATAAAAAAAATATATCAGGTTTTTAAAATTATTATATAAAATTAAAATATAAAAAAAAGTTATATTTTATCAGATAGTAATTTATAAAATTATTGAGCATATTTAAAAAACATGATATAAATAAAATAACTCAAATTAATAAATTTTAATCTTCTAACTATATTAATTTGTGAAAAATATAATAAAATTTATTAAAAAATTTTAATTTAAATTTTATTATAATAAAAATTATATACATAAAAAATATATTTAATCATAAATTAATATTTTTTTATTTATTATTATATATATTATAATTTAAAATAATTTAATAAAAAACATTATTATATATAATTTTTATTTTTTATCAGATAAATCAAAATTTACCAAAACTTTTTATGAATATAAAAATAAAATCATTACTAACCTTTTTTTTTTCATATTTATATTAATTATTCTATAATATTTTTTTTTAAATATAGTCAATAAATAAAAACAATATTATGTTCCCCAAAATATTTTTAAAAATTTTGTATCAAAGATATATAGTAGTTCCGTAAAATATTTTCAATTATTTGCTAGCAAATTATCAAGAATAATAATATATTATTCACAAATGATTAGAATTAAACAAAATAATAAATTATTTAAATTTATTATTAAAAGAATGATGTATTATTAGATTCTCTGAGTTATATGTAAAAGGAAGAAAATTAAGAAAGTAATCAAAAAAAAATAGGTTTAGAAGTAAAATTGCAAATATAAATTATAATAAGAGGAATCATTAAATATTTTAAATTACATAATCTTTTTATTTTATATTTTTGAATAAGAGTCCAATATAAAAAAATAAATAAAAATAAACTAGAAAAAAAAAAAAAAACATTAATAAAAACTAAAAAAATGAATTATAAATTATTAAAATAAGATATTAAATATTATTTATATAATTATATATATATTTTATTATTTATTTATATAAATAAAAATAAAAAATTTTATTTATACTTATTAACTTATTAAATCATAAAAAAAATCAAAAAAAAATATATTTAAGTATATAAAAATAGTAAATTTTCATTATATATTTTATTAAAATATTTATAATAATAAATAAAATAATATATATGTATGAATATTAAATTATAAATTATATAAATAATTTTATATTATTAATTATTGAAATAGATAAAATTTAATTTATAATAAATATATTATTTTATAACATAATCTGATAACAAACATTTTAATTTTTTTTTCTAAAGAAGAAAAAATTCATATATCATTATTTTTCATGTTATACATTAAATAAATGATATATAAAGTTTATTTTAAAAATGTGTTTATATGTCAAACTAAAAATATGTAACATATATTTATATAAAAAAAATTAATTATAGTAATAAAAATTTCTCATTCGATAAAGTAAGAAAATTATTATCATATAGAGATTTATAAAAGTAAAAGAAGAAATTACTAAGTATATAAAAATAATTTATCTTATTAAATATTATTTCATTTATAATATAAACAGAAAAAAGCTATTAAAAAAATAGAACTTTTACTCTCAATCAAAAATAAATATAAAAAATACATTTTTTTGAATTTATTGTTCATTATTAACTTAAAATTTGCTTAATATTCGTAGTTTATATTGAAATTTTATGACTAGTTAACTATATCAAGTTTTTCCCTACTTTATTTTAATCAAAAAGGTATTTAAGCAATTTTTTAACATTGAGAAGTCGTCTGATTGATAAAAAAGCCTTCTAGACATTATCTGAATGAGTTTTATTCATATAGGTAAACATTATATATAAGACTATTAATTTTTTTAAAAAGGTAAAATTTGAAGAACAATAAATTTTCAATTTAAAGTTGTTTAAAAAGCCTATTAATTATTTTCTAAAAAAATATAGAAAGAAATTTCTCAAAAAACATAATTTTTTATATTCTTAAATCACAACTTTATTTTATTCAAAGATTATTTTTTTTAAAAAAAAAAAAAAAAACTAAATTTTTATAAATATGTAAATAATTAAATATCGTTTTTTAGTGCCAATAACAAAAATTATATTGACTACAAACTTAATTTGAATATATGATGCATTATTTACATGAAAGGTCATATAATTGACACATATCAGATATCTTACAAAATAAAGTCCCAACTAACTCAAAAAGTAAGTATGACGGTGTAATAATTATCCATTATACTAGAAAATTAAATAATTAGAAGGTTTAGTTGTAATTTGGAGAAAAAAATAAAATATACTAACTGTTATTTTTTTACATATAAAAAAAAATTATTTTATGTTATATTTAGTGTATTTTTTTTAATTTTTTAATTATTGTTTTTTAATTATAATTCGAAAGATAAAATTCTTGAATAAGGTGATGTTCTTTTGTTTATAATGTTTATATATAAATTTAATCTTGCTTTAAAATTAGAGAAACAAATTCAGATTTTAGTCTGATTTGCATATAAGCAGCCCTTGCTTTTATATTAGCTGATTTTTGTATATCGGACATACATTTATAGAAGGTTTTACTAACTTTATTAAAATATATTAAATTAAACAAGATGTGCGCTTTGTTTTTGTTCTAATGTTATTATATATCCAGTTTCTATATATAGTTTTTATTAGATAAAAGATTTAATAATATAATTTGTTTTCTTAATAAAAGCATATATCACTGCTGTATCATATGGGAATACTTTACTATTATTATTTATATTATTAAAAATTTAAAAATAAATTTGTTAATTAATTTTTTGTTTGCCTGAAAATAAAATTATCACTGCATCAAATCAAATAATTTTTATAAATATATGTAATGCTTTAATTGAAAAAAAATCCCAAAAATATTAAAAATAATTTTATACAATAATATAGATAATATATTTTTATGTTTTTATTTATTAATTAAAGAATAAATTAATATTTTATAATAATATATAATAATAAATATTTATTAAAATAAATTTTAATAAAGCATATTTTTTTATATATTTAAAAAATAAAATGATATATATATATTTTAATTAATACATATATATTTTTATTAATTAAGCATATTTTAAATTAATTTTTTTTTTTTTTTATTAATAATAATAACTAATTATAAATTTATTTTTAAATTAAGAAAATAAAAAAAAAAAAATTATAAAATAAAAAATTAATTATTTTAAAAATAAAATAGTATTAAATATATTAAAAAATAAAGGAAAAATATAAATAATAATATAAAAAATATATCTAATTTTTACGTATTAAGTAAAAATAATAAAAAAATGAGCTAAATGTCAATTATCCATAATATTCATTCCAAAATGAAAAAAGAGAGCCAAATAGTCCAACACACACTTCTCGAGCTTTCCAGGAAACTGAGCGAAAAATACGAAGCTAATATATATTTAAAAAGAGAAGACAATTAACATTGTCGTTCATTTAAAATACGTGGAGCATTTGCATATTTCTCGAAATTGACTGAAGATTAAAAATCAAAGGGTAAATAAAAAAAATTAAAATAAATAATATATATAAATTTGAAAAAAAGATATAGACAGACATATATACATATTTATATATATAATTTTAACTTATTTATATTTTATAGGTATAGTTACAGCCTCAGATGGAAATTTTGCTTTAGCTGTATCTTATTTATGTAATTAATATAAAATTAAAGGTTATATTTTTCTTCCAAATGTGTGTTAAAAATAAAAAATTGAAAATATTCAATAATTTGGTTAAGAATATGTTGAAATTAAGCTTGTTAATGGAGGTTTTTACGAAGATGCTGTTAAATATGCAAAAGAGTTTAGCTAGTTAAACAAGATTTCATATTTATCTTCATTTGATGATTAAACTATGATTGATGGAAACGGCACAATTGCTTTAGAGGTCCTCTAAGACCTTGAAACAGATTTAGATTATTGTTTTGTCCCTGTAGGAGGAGGTGGTCTTGCGGCTGGAGTTTCTTTGGTTCTTTCTTAACTTTCTCCAGATACGAAATGTATCGGTGTAGAGCCTGATGGCGCTTCTAGTATGAGTAAATCCTTAAAAGAAGGTCAGGTAGTAGTATTAGACTCAATAAGCAGATACTGTGACGGTTCTTCAATAAGAAGAGTAGGAGATTTACCGTTTAAAATTTGCAAAGAAAAACTTTCTTAAGTCCATGTAGTTTAAGAAGGCCATATAAGCACTACAATCCTCTTTTTATATGACATAGGTATAATTGCAGAACCTGCAGGAGCACTGAGTGTGGCTGCTTTGGATTTTTTTAAAGATGAAATAAAGGGAAAGAATGTTGTGTGCATTTTAGCTGGAGGAAATACGGAACTTTCCAGATTAGATGAATTTAAAGAACATTCTTTATTATATGAAGGTTTAAAATACTTTTTTTTAATCAATTTTCCGATGAGATAGGGTGTTTTAAAGGAGTTTATTGTAAAATGTTTGGGACCTACAGACGAAATCTGCTAACTTTAATTTCATAAAAAGCCTAATAGGGAAAACGGACCGGCTTTGGTTACTATCGAAGTAAGGAAAAAGGAAGAAATATTAAAAATTTAAGAAAACATGAAAAAAATTAACCTTAAATATTAGATTATTAATGAACAAAGGGAATTATATGATCTTTTATTTTGAAAATAAAATAAAATTCTTTTATTATTAGTATTTGTATATATAGTTATTAATATTATTAATAAATAAATATATTTAATTTAGTTAATTCATAATATTATTATATATATTTTTTATTTTTTCCGTTTTCAAAATATATTACAAACAGCAATTTATTCTTATTTAAGTTCTTCAATAACTTCACTTTTATTTGATTCTTCTTATCTTTAACATTAAAAAAATTTATATATGTCTTGATCTTTTTCCTATTCTAAATCATATTCACTATAATTTTTATAACCAGGTTGAGATGTTGATACTAAATTATAGATTTTAATTATTTTTTTTAAATATATAAATACTTAAATCAGGTTTCCTAGTTTACGTAGTATAAGTGATTCTAACACCAGCATCTTAAAAATCATCATATATTTAAACTTTTTTCGATTGTCTTTTTAGCAAATCATCTTCGAGTATAACTCCTATGTATATATATATATAAGTATATATATATATATATATATATATATATATATATATTTATATATTTATTTATACTTGTTTGATCCTCTGAAATTTTTTTTTATTATTAATCAATATTTTAAGAATATTTTTATTTTATTAGATAAGAATCCTATTTATTTCTAAAATTAAGATCATTATTATTAACCGATTTACTTTCCATAAATAAATTATTTCCTTATTTTTTATTATCAATAATATTATAATTAACGTCTTTTTCTATAGGAGGTACCTATGATATATATTTTGACCTCAATTCATCTACATTATTTTTTCTAATTTAACTATTAAAATTTATATCATTAAACTATTATTACTAATATTATTATTATTATTATGGTTTTTATGAAATATCTAATTAATTATTACTCATTAAATTATTTTAAGAAAGATTTAAATTATTTTAATTATTTAATATGCCAGGCTATTTATAAAAATATTTTTATGATTAATCTGGAGTTGTTGGTCGGCTTGATTTTTATCCAAAAATCTTCTATTTTTTAAATCCTGAATTCTACATATAATTTTAATTATTACTTTATGAATTATAATTTTAGTTATTATTTTATGACATATAATTATAGTTATTGTTTTAAACAGAAGGACCTGCATATGTACTTCTAAATTATTAATTTTATTATATTTAAGATTATGCTTATTAATATTATTATTATTATTATTGTTTTATTTCTTAACTTATTATTTGAGAATTATTTTGTTCTATTCCATATTTTAATTTTAAATCATAATTATTGCTATCTTTTTTTTATATATATATACAATTTTTATATTTTAATAAACTTTTACTTGGCGTTATTGTTTATGCCATTCTTGGTTAAATATAAGACATTGATTTTTATTTTCTTTTTTTCTAATATATAATATATTTCGAAGATAATATATATATTTTTTTATTTTTTTCTCTTTAATATATTTTCGTAAAAAAATAAAAACTAAACTAATATTCGTTTTTTATATATTACGTTTTTTTTATAATAATATTTTATAATATATATAAAAAATATCAATTTTTTTTCGATGTTGCCTTCTTCTTTTTATAACTTTCTATTAATTCAATAGAAACACCCACAAGTACCAAACCTACACAAGCCCATTAATATCCATTCAAAACATGTCCAAAATACACTATACTACATAGAACTGTGAAAAACTTTCTTGTAGTAGTAACCAAAGCAAGTAAGAAAGGCCCAAAATTTTTAATTGTATAAAATATAAAAACTTACCCAATACATCCCATAAAAGAAATAGAAAGAATATCAATAAAGCCTTCTCTATAATTTTAACAGAATTCAATAAAACTCCAGAATTAATTAAATATAAGAGCATATAAAATAGAAAAGATAGAACACCACATAGATGTGATTTACATTAAGTACCAACTAGATGGATTATATAATTTTCTAGTCATATCTTACTTTTCAGCAAGCATACCATCAGAAAATAAAGAGCCTAGAATAAGCGCTATTCCAAAAAGTGATGTTTATTTAGAATTGCCGGATTTTTACTTAAATTATATATATATATATATATATATATATATATATATATATATATATATATATATATTTCTAAGTTATTATAAATTTATAATTAAAAAAAAAAATACCTCTTAGAGATTAAATCCTACTATTCCTATTGTTACTATAAAACCACATAAATATTAAGATATTTGATGATTAGTTTTTCCAAAAATCAAACCAACAATCAAAACCGAAAGTACTTTACAACTTTTAAATAAAGCTTATAATGGATATGACATATATTTTAAAGCTGTATTACTACCCAGCATAGAAAAAGCATTATAAAAGCCATATTATATTTAATAAGATATAGGTATTTTTTTACTTTAATCATAATATATTATATTCACTAAAAATGCTACTATAAAAGAAAATAAGCATTGTAAAAATAGAAGAGCCCAAGGTTAATTGAATCTAGTTTATTCTTATATAATGTTACTTTTGTATTTAGTGGAAAAACTAATATTTTTATTTGTTTGTTATATATTAAATAATTTTTATTTTTATAACATTTTTTCTTAGGTTAAACCATAATATATGTAAGAGACATATATACCGCCTACTCCTAAAATAAACTTGAATTCTTTTCTATCAAATATATTCATTTTTTGGTTTTTTTTTAATTTTTATTATTTTTCTCTGAGAAAAAAAAAAAAAAAAATGATATTTGTTTAATAAAAAATAAATATAAATACATATATATATATTTTTAAAATTAAAAAGAAATTTGGAATCATATAAATAAAATTAATTATTAAAAAAATATAAAAATAAATTATTTTTAAATTTTTTTTTATTTTTTTTGTTTAAAAAAATAAAAAAAATAAAAAAAAATATATATATTATAAAATGTCAGAAAAATAAAAACTTTAAATACTATAAAAAGAGTTAAAATAATTTGGTGATTTTCAAAATCTAATATCATTATAATAACTAGAATAAATACTTGACTAAAAAGTAAACAAAAATATATATAAATATATCAAAAAATATAGAATAATGGTATATATGACAGACAAATAATATAACAATTATACTAATAAATGGAATATAAGTAATAATAAGGCAAAGAAACAACTATGAACTTAAATAATTTTTTTTCAACATATATAGAAGCGGAAATAGCTTTAAAAAAGAAGATTTAAATTTGTAAAGATTAATAAAAAAGTCTTTTTGAAAATAAAAAAGAACTTGAAAAATAATTAAAAAAAGCACAATTATAAGAAACAATAAACATACATGGAATTTCCACTCAATCTAATTTATACGTTAAAGTGCATTAATTAGAAATATTTACAAATGAAAGAATTCACCCATATGTTTCTTTAAATATAGGTCATATATAATTCTAGACATAAACAGGATATGGTTCAAAAGTTCAATATTAGAAATAATATAATTTGTAAAAATATATATATATATATATATATATATATATATATATATATATATATATATATATATACTTTATAACATTAATTATAATTATATCTATAATTATAATCTTATTAAATTAATAGTGATATAACAACCGGAATCGAATTATTATAAATAGAAGCTATCGATTATAATAGATTAAATCCTAATTTATCATTAGGTTCAGTAACTATTCCTCTTAATATTTTATAAGATTAAAAATTGCATGAAATGAATGAATTTCAATTAATTTCAAATGATATGAGAACTTCGACTGGGAAGATATATCTTTCTTTATAATTGACTCATTCGCAAGTATAAATATTTATTAATTATTTATATAGTAAAATAAATTAATAAAAGTAAAAGTTTTTAAGCGAAAACATTTTCAAAATAATTGATAATATTAAATAAAACGAATAAGATTTGTTTGATTTCGAAAGAGACTTAACTTTGTTATATTAACCATTTAAAGAATATTGCAAAAGATTCAGTAATATTAGTTTAGAAAAGGAAATTTAGTTTAAACCCACTCCCATTAAGGTTGAAAAGCCAACTGAATATAAATAAATAGACTTAAGGAATACTACATTACAAGGAATAGTAGAAGTTGAAAAGAACTCATTTGAATATACTAAATATTTCTTTTTATTATTTTTCTTAACTATCTTAATTTGTATGTTTTATAGGGCTTAGTTTTTCGATGTAATTTTTCATATAAATGATATGTTTTTTTAAACAAAATAAAAAAATAGCTTACCATTTGTTTGTTTTGCTTTTTCTTTTATTTTTTATAAGCTTTTGATCATTTTAAATGCAATTTATTGTTAAAAGGCCTTTCTTTTTCTTTGTTTCTTGATATATTATGGCTTTTCATTTATTCCAAAAACTGGTGGATTGTAGATTAAAATAAATATAATAGTCTTAATTATATTTATGATGTTTATGACATTAATTTAAAAAGATCAACTATAATTTTTAGTTATCTTTCAGTTTTATTGAAAGTATTTTTTTTAAAACAAAATTAAAATATTTATTTTATATTAAAAAACTAGTTGATTCTATTAGTATAAGTATACATAGTTAAATAATAATTGCAAAAACAATTAGAAAATTAATCATTTATAAAGGAAAGGTTCGTAAATGTTAATAATTTCAATAGAGAACCTGGATATGAAGGAAATTAAAACATTGGAAATAATTAAAATTCACCTGAATATATAAATGGTAAATAATATTATATATATATATATATTTATTATTATATATACATATATATATATAAATATATATATATAAATATATATATATATATAAATATATATATATATATGTATTTATATTAAAAAAGCTTAATATGTCAGAAATTCAAAAATAAGTATTATAACTAAAGTCTGATTAATATAAGGTATTTTTTTTTTTTTCGATAAAATGTTTATATAAAAATATAATTTAATTTTTTGTATTATTTATTAAAAAAATAAATATATTAATTCATATAAATAATTTTTTTTTTTTTTTTATTTAAATAAAAAAAAATACTATATTTAATAAAATAAAATACAATTTATTTATATTTTTTTTTTTTCAAAAAAAAAAAAAAAAAAATATACAAAAACCAATTTCATTTTATTATATATATATTTAAAATTATAACCAAATAAAAAAAAAAAAACAACAACAACAACTAAAAAAAAACAAAGACTAAAATAATCCTAAATTTATTAAACCTTATAAATATGGGACAATCGAACTAGAAAATCTCGAACACGGAACTCAAATTAATCGACTACAACCGTTACAAATACCAAAAAACGATCGAAATAGATGAACGATATGGTGAAAACCTTAAAATATATCAAGATTCGACCTCATCACATCGTATTACAATAATCACGAAACATTTTGACCCTTAAATAAAAGATTTTAAGTTAGATGTCTAATAAAAATTATAAAAACTTAGACATCCTGCCTTAATATAATTATTAAACACTCACACCAAAATAAAGAAAAAAATGTGCAACGAATTATGTACACTAAAATTATTATATGAATACATTGATAATGATCTCTAAAACGACATCTAATCTCGCCAAAAGCAAAATATTTTTTATCAAGAAAACGAGCTTTGGTATCTTATAATAAGTGTAATATCAGCACTTGCCTATTTAAAATAAATGTAGTTTTATCATGACGACATCCGCCCATATAGTATTTGTTTAGATTTAGAATATAGAGTAAAACTTATGGCAGTTAATTCATTTATAAATACTGGTTTATGTTGTTATTAAGATATTCTGATGTAAAATAGGCCTTAGAATATATATATATCACCTTTATAATTAGGTGCTTTATAATATAAAATAAATAAGCCGAAACATAATATTACAAAAAGCGATATTTTTAATTTAGGAGTGGTTATTTTAGAGTGTTGTTTATTAAAAAGCGCAAATGATATATATTGTTTTGACACTTATAGAATATCTTTAAAGGAGAAAATATAAGAAATATAGAATACTAGAAGATATTCTGAGAAATTTCTCAATAATTTAATATAAATGCTTACTTTAGATGAAAATTAAAGATAAGATTTAGATTTTTTTTATGATAAAATTACTAATATGTCAATTAATGGTATATATAAGTATACATGTATATTTATTTATTTTTTTACGTAGAAGAAATAGAAATAGCAGATCATTTATATTCATATTAATTGGTAATCTAATAAATAACATAGGAAGTTATTTTATAATAATAATAATAGTAAAAATAGTAATAATAATAAGTATTATTATAATAAAATAATCTCCCAATAGAAAATAATGAAGAAGAGTAATTTTTGTTTCCAAATTAAGGCGAGGCTTAAATAATTTCGCCTACTAAAATCGCTTTGATTGAAACTGAATAATAAACGCAAAAAAATAAAATGAGGAAGAAAAAAACATTATAAATAATAATAATTTAATACCTATTTCTTAAAATATAAGTAGAATAGATGCCTCTAATATAAAAGGAATAGGAGAAGATTAATCTAAAATATAACATATAACACCAATTTCAAATAATGAGAGTCTAAATAGTTATTTATTATATAAAAATCAAGAAGAATAATCAAATAATTTGTTTTTAAAAAATAATAATTAAAAATTATAAAATGTAAATTCTTAATAAAATTTATTGATTTAGAATAATAATCCAATTGAAATTGCAAATTAGTTAAAACAATTATTGGCATAAATGTATCCTTAATAATAATAATAATTACTTTAAAATAATCTTAAATTTAATAATAATAACTAGTTTTTTAATTAAAATAATAATAGTTAAATGTATAATAATAGTTTTAATAATTAATAAAATAACCCAAATTTGTTTAATAATAATAATTTTAATTAGTAAATGTTCAATAATTCAAACTACGGGTTAAATAATAACATGTTAAACACAGGAGTATTTAATAATAATAATAATATGCATTTATTGTAAATGTAATAATAATAATTTAACAATAATGGACTAAACAATTTTAATATTAATTAAAATCAAAATAACTAAAATATTCCTTCTTTTAATTAAAATATATAAGCATTTAACCAAAATCAATAATTTAATCCAAATATAAACTTATAATAAAAAAACAATATGTAATTTAATAATAATTAAAATACTTTTAATAATTAATAGTCATTTAATTAATAAGTATTTCATAACTAACATACATAGAAAAGTCAATAAGGATATGGAAACATATAACCTTTACAAAATAACAATAATAATATTTAATATTTTAATAATAATAATAATAATAATATTTAAGATTTTAAAATTGGACAAAATAATAATTTTGTATAATAAAATATGTATTAAAATAATCAATAAGTATAATAATAAAATAAATAAAGAATATTTTGAAAAAATGAATATATATATAAAAATAAATATTCAAAAATATATAAATAATATATATATATATATATATATAAATATATATATATATAATATTTTTATTTTCTTTAATATTTTGTAAATAACATAATTTAAATACATTTTTATTATATTAATTAAATTTTATTTTTTCAATTCTAAGCACAATTTTTACAAAGATCTATATCTTACAGTAATTCCCTTTTTTAAAAAATACACTACTATTATCTACAGATATATTTTTAACAAATCTCACACCTTTAAATACATTAAAAGCATGCATTTTTTTCACATACAGAACAAAACTAAAACAATAATTATTATTAATAATTATTATTTGATTAATTTAGAATATTTTTCTTAATTTATACCTTAAAATACTAATGTAAATTATTTTTGTTTTTCTAATTATACTCATTTAATATATTACATAATTCCTATTTATTTTTTAGGCATTAAAAACATTAATTTTATTAGAAATTAATTTGTTTCTAAACTTATTATTAATCTGCTTTGAGTAATTTATTTTAAGTCTAGTCAAAAATAGAAAAATTAACATTTTTTTTATTCTGAAACTTTCCATTACTATTAAATGAGTGAAAATTAGAATTAGTCATTTCTATATTATCATTTCTATCTATATTTAAGTTTTTTATAAAATCAACAGCCTAGCCTATGAATTCTTAACTATTTTATTACTATTCATCGTATTCTTTTATAAAAAACTTATTATAATTTTCATTACAGTATGGACTTTTTCTAATCATATTTTTTTATTTAAAAATTAAAATTTTATAAATATGTAAAAATGCGCCTTTTTAAAAAATATAAAATAATATATATAAAATTAATTTATAAATATATATATATTTATATATTATTTTAATATTAATATCATTTATTAATAAAACGATCTTATAAAATCAAATATATAAGGATTTTTAAGAATTAGGTTTAATAATTTATTATACTATGAAACTAGGATACCTACCTGATTTAAGTATTTTTTATTAATATAAAATAAATTAAATAAACGAACTAGTATAATCTTCTCAATCTTATTATAAAATTTTTAGTCAATATGATTAAGAATAATAAAAAGATTATGATACTTATATATATCTTTTTAAGCTAAATATAAAATATTCAAATAAAATTTAATATATACAGAAAAACTTAATTAAGAATAAATCACTGTTTTTATTATATTTAAATAAAACAAACTATCAAATTTTTGAATAATTATTTTATAAATAAAATAATATTATTAACTAATTATACATATAAAAAAAAAAAGATATATATAATATAACTAATTATAAAACTAATTTTCATATAAATAAAAGAACTTATAATTATATATATTTTTATTTATTTCAAGGTTAATTTTCTTAAATATTTTATATTTCTTCCTTATTCCTTACTTCAATAGTAACCGAAGCCGTTCCGCTTTCTCTATTAGGGCTTTTTTATGAAATTAAAGTTAGCATATATCGATTGTATGGATGATCTAAGAAATTTAACAATGAAATCTAATAAAAGATTCCTATCTCATCATAAAATGTTATAAAAAAAAATAATATTTAAAGAAAACTTCACATGTTTAAGAATTCTATTTAAATCAATCTAATCTGGAAAGCACAAGAAATTATTTCACTTTATATCATCTTAAGTTTTGTTTTAAAAAAAATCAACCACTATCATTACGTATACAGGTTCTGCAATTATACCTATGTCATAAAAAAAGAGATGTGGTGTTAATATGGCATTCTTAAACTAAATGGACTTAAGAGAGTTTTTCTTTGCAAATTTTAAAGGGTAAATCTCCTACTCTTATTATTGAAGAACCGTCACAGTATTTACTTATTAAGTGTAATACCAACATTTGACCATCTTTTAAGGTTTAATACATAATAGATAATAAATCGCAAAATACAAAGTAAAATTAGAAATATAGAGAAAGTAAGAAAGAAATAAGTATAATTAAACGGTAAAAATAACTTCTCATAAACTAAAAAAAAAAAATTATTTATATTACTTTGCTAAAAAATAACTATAAAAAGATTTTGCTAATTATAAAAAGTCATGATTGAATCAAAAAAAATAAAATTGTTAAATTAAAAAAACTAATAATATCTATAAAAAGAAACAAAAAATAAAAAAAAAAAAAATTAGAAATATTATTGAATTTAATTTAAATAAAAAAAAAAATTATTTATTTAAAATAAGATATTATATTTTATAAAATAAAAATGTAAATAAAAAAATGATATAAAAATGAATGTGAAAATAAAACAATTATTATAATATTAAAATATAAATAAAATATAAAAAAAAAATTATATAAATAATTATATATTTATATTTATATATTTATTTATTTATTTATATATATTTTTTATTTTTTTTTATATTTTTATATATATGTATCACATTTTCGATTTTGCTTTATATGATTTTTTTTAAAGATAATTTAATGTTTTTTTAATAATTATTTATTTTTAAGATTTAGGTTTAATAATTTCTTATACTATGAAACTTAGATACATAATCTAATTATATTTTATTTATATAAAATTAAAAAAATAAAATTTAGGATTAATCTTTTAATCTTGGTAATATGATTAAAAATAATAAAAAGATTATCAAAATATATATCTTTTTTTATTTAAATATAAAATAATGAAATAAAAATTACTATATAGTAAAACTTAATTAAGAATAAATTGAATAAATTACTGATTTATGTTTATAATAATTTTTATGAAAAAAAATTTATAAAATTTTATATTATTATTTTATAAATGAGCTCAAATATATAATATTTTTTATTAATTTTATATATATAATAATTATATTCAATTGTTTAAATATAATTTTTTTTTTTTTCAAAATTAAAGATCATATAATTAATTTCCTATTTTCATTAATAATCTAATATTTAAGGTTAATTAATCTGAAAAATTCAGTATTTACTATAGAAAAAATACACATAAAATTCATTTCCATTTATTTCATCTATAAAAAATTTAAAAGCAGCTACACTGAAACATTTTGTATATGAACCATTTTTTATAATCTTTTTTTTTTATATTTGATAATTTCTGTATCATTTATTTTTTTATTTAATTAATATTTTTCATATGTACTTATTTTATTACTTTGTATTGTTATTTAACTCCAATATTATTATTTATATCATTTACTTTTACAATTTTTCTATAAATCAATATTATAATTTATTTAATAATTATACTTTAAATTTTAAATAAATATTAGTTACATTATTGTTTAACATTTTTTTTTATATAGATTTTTTTATAAATATTTTTTTATTCAAAATCTAACTAAATATATTTATAATTAAATAATATAACTCAATTTTTTATGGTATTAATCCTATTCTTTATTATATTTACCATCAATAAAAAATTCAATTATAAAATTAAATTATAGACTCTATTATCATTGTATAACTTTTTTTGATTAATTTTTCAAAATTAAATTATGTATAAAGTAGATTATTTTGAGGTATGTTATATTGATAGATTATATTTTTTTCATTCTTTTTTTATGTGTTAAATATTTATTTTTTAAAGAAATAAATATTTTTTTTTTGTTAATTTTCAAATTTCCTTTTATTTAATTTTCTAAGAAAATACAAAAAAAAATATTTTTTTTTAAATTTCACTCATGCTATTTTTATGGAATTATATGAAAAAATTAATTTTTTTTAAATTTAATAATTATAATTAATATTTTTAAAAATAATTTATAATTTATTTTATTATATTCTCTATTTTCTTTCAAATATTAATTATTTTTAAAATATTAATCAAATTATTCTATTAAATAATATATTTTTAATATATATTAAATAATATTTTTTAAATTAATAATTATAGCTTATACATTATTTAAAATATATATTCATTTTATCTTTATTTTAAATAAATATATATATATAAAATTTAATTTTATAAAAGTTCTTATTTTTCTTTTTAATTGAAATTTAATCTATATAGTATTTTTTTTATTAAATAATTTAAATTTTTAAAGATAATTTTTGATTTTTATTTAATTTAACCATTATATAAATATAATATTTTAGTTATTTTATATAAATTTAAATTTTGTACTTTTATTATTTTTTTAATTTTCTTTAACTTTAGCTTTTAATAAACTTATTAATTTTATTTAAATAAATCTTGGAATTTAAAAAATAAAATAAAATAAAATTAATTATCCTTTAATATTTAATAAAAATTAATATTTGATTTTTTTATAAATTATAATTTATCAAATTTTAATTTGATATTAGTAAAAAAAAAAAAAAAAAGTAAAATAAAATTAAATAAATATTTTATATTTATTATTTTTATAATTATTATTTTTATTTTATTTAATTATATATTCTTTTTAATTTTATAATTATTTTAATAGTAATTTAAATTATTATTTTTATTATTTTTTATATATTCAATTTTGTTTATTTAAATCATTTATTATTTAAATTAATATATATTTTTGATACTAATTATATAAAATTATTCATAATATATTTATCATTTTTTTTATTTTTATTTTATTTTATTTTTTATATTATTTTAAACAAACGTATAATCTAAGAATTTTTACAATTTATCATTATATCCTTTTAAATTTCTTACACTCGAATAATAGTTTAATAATGAAATTATATTTTAAATCAAAATTATATCTATGACAGAAACTTATAAATAACTAATTGCCCATTATTAATCTTCTCCATCATTAATAATACTACTCTCTTTTAATATAAATAAAATAAAGAATATTATAAAAATCGATAGAAAAATAAACATTGAAAATATATATCTAAGAAATTTTAATAATTTAATATTTTCAATAATTTTTTTTAAACATTATTTAACTATAATACATATTAATATTAAAATTGCCATTTAAAAATATCCTATCATATAAGAATAAAAGCAAATTAGCATAAATAAGCATTGTTTAAAATATATAAGTAGAGCCCTAAGTAAAGAGTTTCGTGTATAGTCTAATAATAAATATATCTCCAAAAATTCATTCGCAATAAGTGTAAAATATAATTTCTAGTCATATTAATAATAATTATGAACGGTATTTGTTCTATTAACTTTATTTATATTATTATTTTCATTTTAAATAACTTCAAATAAAACATCATTTGTATTGTTTTTGATATTCGTACTATTTGTTATAGTTTATTTACTGATAAAATTTTCAAATCCAGACATACTCTATATATTTTAATCTGGAGAAACTGAACTTTAACTTATATAATTACTTCTTTTTTTTGGATTTTTATTAATTTTTGAGTTTATATTTATCAATTCTAATTATTAATTTGTTTTTTGAATATATGATTTGGGTCTTCTTTACGTTTACTTTTACCTTTATTTTTCTTTTTTTACATTTTCTGCTACATTTTATGTTTCAATTTGGTCTTTTACGGGTTCTATTTTCGGTTTACATTCTTATTCTTTTAAATTTTTCGCTTTCCTATTTCTATAATAGGATTTATAATCTAAAAAATAGCAGATTATACACGCGATTAATATATATATAGTAACCACGAGATATACTTTAAACATTATCTTACTAGTAGTCGCATTTATTTCTTATATTTAATTCTCACATTTACCATTTTCATTCAAAACAAATCCATTTTCGCACTCCAAGCATTTAATATTGCCTCCTTCCGTGCATCTTTTGCACGAGGAATGGCAAGGATCGCATGTATTAGTCTCTACATTTTTAAATTTATTTTAAGGACATTCTGTTTTGCACTCATTTTGGTCTAAGTAAGTATTCTCTTAGCAATAAATTTCATTACTACAAAATCCATTAAATAAATAGAGTCCCTATAAACATTCTGTACATTAATTAAATTGTTTACAATTTAAACAATTAGAATCACATGGTTAACAATTTCCTTAAGAATCTGAAAAAAAAGATTAATCACATTCTAGTTTACATTATTAATCTTAGGTTAAAAAAAAAAATTATTTACAAGATACACATTTGCCCTTTTCTATACATGTTTTACAATTTAAGTCACATAATTCGCATTTTTATGTACTTCTTTTTAAATATGATCCTTCTTCACAAGTATCACACGTATTAGGATTCGAGCAAGTAAGACACGTAGGATCACATTACTAACAATTTTTATTTTAATCCTCAAATTATTTATTATCGCAATTATCGGCGCATATTCTAGTTTATAAAAGAACTTAATTATTATTACAGGTAATACATTAATTATTTACTATTCCATTTTCACATGTTTGACAATTATCATCACATTTTTCACATAAATTACTCCTTGTGTTTATATAATATCCTGCATTACATGTATTACACGAAATAGCATTTTAACATGTAAGACAGGACGCATTACATTATTAGCATGTCCTTAATGCATCTGCATATTAATTTTATTAACAAGCAATAACGCATATTCGATCTTAAGTGAGAAAATTTATAGGTAAACATTCAGTACATTAATCATTAGTGGGTCCATTTTCGCACGCGACACAGTTTGCGTTACATTGTTCACATCTATTAGTATTAGTATTAGTATTTAAATATTAACCTTTAATACAGGATGTACAAGTATCAGCATTATTATCGCAAGTTCTACAGTTAGCGGAGCAAGGCGAGCAAAATTAAGTTAAAGGATTTAAATAATTACCATCAGCACATGTAGAACATGAGGTATTATTAATACATGATAAGCATGATGCATTACACGGTTAGCATTTTCTCGCATTATCCGGATATTATTTGGGTAAACAGATATCTTTGCAAGTTTAGTTAGTTTATAAATATTAATTATTATTACAAGTAAGACAAGAAGTCTTTGAATCTATACAAGTTTAGCAATTCGGATCACAAAATTCGCATAAACCACTTTAAGAGTTCGGATATTAGCCTTAATTGCAATTCCTAACGCATTTTTTTTCCAGTTATTGGTAATATAAAGGAGGTGAGCAGGACAGGCATTTAGTATTATCAGTACCGTTTTCACATGTAGTACACTAAGCATCACATGGTTCACATTTCAATGTATTTGTATTAAAAAAATTGCCATTTACACAAAGTTAGCAAGAATTTGCATTTACACATTTAAGACATAAATTAATGCAATCCCTACATTTAGGTATATCAACTTGACTATTATCTAAATATTAATTATCATCACAAGCATCTACACATGTTTAGTCTTTTTGTTTGTAAAACTTTAGGTGAATTACAAGAAGTACATATATCTGGAGTATCATTTTGACAAGCTTTACAATTAATATTACAAGGTTTACATTCATTCAAATTATTTTTATAATAACCTTAATCACATATAATACAAGTAGTTTTATTATCACATTATATACATCCTTCCATACATGCAGTACATATATTATTTATAACAAAAGTCCCTTTTGGACAACCTACACATATATCGTCTTTAAAATACTCATTATTTTTGCATTAAACACATTATAGATTATCAGTTATATGTTCAGTATCTCTACAAAGTATATTTTCAATTGAATATAAGTAAACATAATCATCTATATGATTTTCATCATCCGCAATTAAAGTTTTTCCTTATAAAAATAACTATCTATACCTATGGTCTTTTATAGGAAGTGTGTAATATTTATTTTTTTAATCCTTTCTTTAGATCACACGGACTTAATCAGATGTTTAATCAAATGATATATCGTATACAATGTTTCCAAAAATAATGACCGATTTATAACACAAAATATCATAATATTCTCCGAATTAAATCGGCGAACTATCTGGAGACATTTATACTTCATTAAAAGTAAGTAAGTCGTAAAATTTCCAAGTATTAGAAATCCCTAAGCAAATGATTTTTTTCCCAATTCCAAAATCGAAAATATCAGACATATAAATTTTTTTTAGCTTAGTATCAGTTTATTTTTCAAAGTAACTATATCTCCAACAAAGGTTAATTAAGTTAAAACTACACTTACCTATGCACCTTATTTTTATATAGTAAGGGCAATATCATTATCAATATCAATTATATACATGCACTTATTGTATGGAAATTAGTTCATTTAGTATTTTTTCCCTTTATAAATCATAAACGCGGAGTCAAAACTAAAATTATCTTTAAAAACAATAATATGGTGTGTACTACAATATCCTTACACTTATTAAACATCATTTGTTGGAATAGGGACTTAGTCACAATTATCATCGAAAAAAGGAGTTTTATAAAAAGCAAAATATTTCGAATTGAATATTGCGTTTTAGCTTTTTAAAATATTAATTACTTTATCCATTTCTATTACATAAGTTGAAAAAAATAAAGTTTTTGAAGGGAGAATTTAATATATACCATTGTTTTCCAAATTATAAAGATCTATTAAATCTATTATTTAGTAATTATGTTATAAACGGTTTAATATAAATAATTTTGGTCGGCCTTATTTTGTCTCAATTAAATAAGTATTTTTGTCTATTGCTTCAATCAATCGATCTAGAATTATTTACTTTGTTATAAAACCATCGTCATTTAATATACAATAATAGTAATATTACATTGGATTTTAATTAATTGGTCTTATTATTATGGCTGATTCTTCAGAAATGTTGTACCAATATAGATATATTTATAATGGATATTAGAATGTATTTATTTTATGGATTATAGTAATAAAAAACAAAAATTATAAAATTAATTTTTTACTTTTACTTTTCATTTTTGTTTTTTATTTAGTTTTTTGTTTTAAATATTTAGTTCTTTCTTTTTTCTATTTTGTACTTTATGAAGTTTATTTATTTCAAAATATTTATTATTAACAATGCATTTGTAAAAAAGTATTAATTTATTATTATTATGTAACAAATTATTTATTATAATATATTATTAAATGTAATTATTTAATATATTATTAATATATCATCAATTTAAAATGATAATATAAAAATAAAATATAAATTTAATTTTTTAATAAAAACTTATAAAATATGTTTTTTAGAATCAATTATTATCTTATTGTATTCAATATAATTATTTTGAATATTTTAAAATAGTAAACAAAAAAATATAAACTCAAATTAATAATTTTAATCTTACAAATACATTAATTTTTGATTCATTTTATTTAAAATTATTTACTTTTAATAAATTACATTAAAAAATAAAATATTTATAATAAATATTTATATATTAAATAATTTCTATATAATAAAACATTAAATATTATAAAAAAAAAAAAATATATATATATATATTTTTTTTTCAGTAAATTAAATATACCATAATTTTTATGAATATAAAATAAATTATTTCATATATTTTTTTTTTTCCCCATATTTATATTAAATTATTATATAATCTTCTTTTTTTTAATTTTGTCAATAAATAAAAAATATTATAAACACAAAAAAAATTTAAATTTTTTATGAAAGAAATAAATTTAATTAGGTAATATTGTTTTCAATTTTTTTAGCAAATTATGAAGAATAATTAAATATTATCTATAAATAATTAGAATTAAATAAAAAAAAAAAATGTTTAAATTTATTTATTAGAAAAATGAAGTATTATTGGATTATCTAAGTTATCTATAAAAAAATTAAGAAAATAAATAAGAAGACAAAGGCTTAGAAATTAAATTACAACGATAAAATTTAAATTTTACATATGGAAATAAGAATTGCATTTATCTATGATTATTTTTGTAAAAAGTATTATATCAATATAAAAATAATTATTAAAATTAAATTAGAAAGATAAAAGTTTTTTAAAAATAAAAATATTATAAAATATTAAAATAGAATTATATTAAAAAAAAAAAAAAAAATTAACTTGTAATATAAAATATAAAAAAAATATTATATTTTATTTTTAATAAAAATATAATAATAAAATTAATTTTATTTTAATATAAATATATAATATAAATTACATTATAAAATATATACAAAAAATATTTAATTAATATGTATTTAAAAAGTACTAATTATTATTTATAAAAATATTATATTTATAATAATTTATAAAATATTTTTATACTAATATTTAAGTTAAAATTATATATTATAAATTATTGATATAAAAATTATTTCCTTAATAAATATATAATTTATAATAAAATCTTATAATAATGATTTTATATATAATTTTCTAAAAAAATAAATACTTAATATTAAAAAATTTACTATTTCTTATTTTTCAGATTAAACAATAATTAATATATATAAAAGTTTATTTTTAAATATTATTTGATATGCCAATTAAACTAAATAAATATAAAATATTTTTATATATAAATTAAATACGGATCTAAAATTTATTCTTAGTTGATAAAATGTGAAAATATTTATCAGATAGAAGTTTATAAAAAATGCAAGAAGAGACTAAAGAAATATAAAAAATAATTTAACTCATTAAATATTATTATATTTATTAAAAAAAAAAGATCTAAATAATTTAAATTTACTCACAATTAAAAAAAAAATATAAAAAGTACATTCATTTGTATTGATTATACATTATTAACTAAAAATCAGCTTAATCGTGATGGTTTATATTAAAATTTTATTGTTAGTGAGTTGACTATATTAAGTTTTTCCTTACTTTATGTTAATCAAAAAAGGTTTTTTATTAAGTATTCTCTTAACATTAAGGAGTTATTTGATTGATTAAAAAGCCTTCTCGACATTATCTGAGGCAATGAGTTTAATTCATATAAGTAAACATTATATATAAGATTATTAATTTTTTTAAAAAAACGTAAAATACAAAGAACAATAAATTTTTAATTTAAATTTGTTAATAAAGCCTATTAATTATTTTCTAAAAATATATAACAAGAAAAGTCAGAAAACAGAATTTTATATTCTTAAAAAACACGAAAAAGATTTCGCGACTTTATTTTATTTAAAGATTATTTTTTTTAATAATAAAATATAAAACTAATTTTTATAAACATGAAAATAATTCAATATCGTTTTTTAGCACCAATAACAAAATTTACATTGAATATAAATTTTATTTGATTATACGATGCATTATTTATATGAAATGTCATATAATTGACACATTTCAGATATCCTACAAAAGAAAGTCCTAAAAAAATAAAAAAGTTAAAAAACAGTTTAATAATTATTCATTATACGATAAAATATCTTTAATGTTTAGTGGTAATTTAGAGAAAAAAAAATTAATTAAAATTATATATTGAGTATTTTTTTAATTGTATTAATTAATGTTGCTTTTATTCTAATTCGAAACTTTAAAACCTTTAATAAGATGAAGTTCTTTTATTTGTTATGCTTATGTATAAATTATCTTGCTTTAAATTAGAGGAATATAATTAAGAGCTCATCAGATTTAAATAATAATAAAGAGTCCTTGTTATTATGTTAATAGATTTTAATATAGTTAAACATTAATGGTAGGTTTTACTGATTTTATTAAAATATAATGAATAAAACTGAATATGTATACTTTTTGTTCTAATATTTTTATGTTTCTATACATTGTTTTTTTATTTTAATAGAATATAGATTTAATATTATTATTTAATTTTAAAAAAGCATATTAATCTGTATCTAATAGATATATAGATTGTTTAAAAATATAATAAAAATAATATTAAATTAAAATAAATTAAATTAAATTAAATTAAATTAAATTACATAAATTAAATTAAATTAAATTAAATTAAATTAAATTAAATTAAATTAAATTTAATTAAATTTAATAAATGTAAATAACTATTAGAATAAATGCTTTATGAAAATATATTTTTTTTTAATATTAGTATTTATTTTAGAAAGCTTGAACAAAATATTATATTTAAACTTTTTTTTATTTGAAATAAAATAAAAAAATAATAAAAAAATAATTTTATATAATAATAAAATAATATTAATATAAATCAAAATATATATATTTTATTAAATATAAATATTTATATTAATATAATTTCATTTAAACAATTATTTAAAATTAATAAAATTAAAATATACATTTAATAATATATTCAAATATTAATAATTATATATATATAAATATAAATATATTAATATTTCTATTTATTTTTATTTAAAATTATTATTTTTATTATTATTATTATTATTATTATTATTCTTATTATTATTATTATTATTATTAATACATTTCCAAAAATTCATTCGCAATAATTGTAAAATATAATTTCTATTCATATTAATAGTAATTATCATTTATATTTATTCTATTAACTTATTTTACATTATTATTATCATTTTAAATATCATTATATAAAATAACATTTGTATTGTTTTTCTTATTTGTATTATTTTATATAATTTATTTATCGATAAAATTTTTAAATTCAGACATATTTTAGGTATTATAATCAGCAAGCTTAACTTTAACTTATATAATTACTTTATTTTCTTGGATTTCTATTTATTTTATTATTATTCTTTTGTGAGTTTGTTTCTATTTTTTCTATTTAATAATTTGCTTTTTGAATATCTGATTTAGACCTTAACCTTTAATTTTCTTTGTTTATATTTTCTGCCTCATTTTATACCGCGATATGGTCTTTTACGGGTTCCATTTAAGATTTTGCTATTTTTTGTTTTACATTCTTATTCTTTTAAATTTTTCGCTTTCCTATTTCTATAATAGGATTTATAATCTAAAAAATAGCATATTATACACGCGATTAATATATATATAGTAACCACGATATATACTTTAAACATCATCTTACTAGTAGTCGCATTTATTTCTTATATTTAATTCTCACATTTACCATTTTCATTCAAAACAAATTCATTTTCGCACTCCAAGCATTTAATAATGCCTCCTTCCGTGCATCTTTTGCACTAGGAATGGCAAGGATCGCATGTATTAGTCTCTACATTTTTAAATTTATTTTAAGGACATTCTGTTTTGCACTCATTTTGGTCTAAGTAAGTATTCTCTTAGCAATAAATTTCATTACTACAAAATCCATTAAATAAATAGAGTCCCTAATTAAATTTTAAACAATTAGAATCACATGGTTAACAATTTCCTTAAGAATCTGGAAAAAAAGATTAATCACATTCTAGTTTACATTATTAATCTTGGGTTAAAAAAAAATTTTATTTACAAGATACACATTTGCCCTTTTCTATAAATGTTTTACAATTTAAGTCACATAATTCGCATTTTTATGTACTTCTTTTTAAATATGATCCTTCTTCACAAGTATCACACGTATTAGGATTCGAGCAAGTAAGACACGTAGGATCACATTACTAACAATTTTTATTTTAATCCTCAAATTATTTATTATCGCAATTATCGGCGCATATTTTAGTTTATAAAAGAACTTAATTATTATTACAGGTAATACATTAATTATTTACTATTCCATTTTCACATGTTTGACAATTATCATCACATTTTTCACATAAATTACTCCTTGTGTTTATATAATATCCTGCATTACATGTATTACACGAAATAGCATTTTACATGTAGACAGACGCATTACATTATTAGCATGTCTTATGCATCTACATATTAATTT